AGCTTTAGCTATTTTCATACCTTTTAAAGTTTCTTTGCACCACTCTTTATAAATTGCCATTCGGAAGCTGCATCTCTGAATCATCATCCCTTTGATGTTATGTCTTGATTTGAGTGGCTTTTCATGTTTTACTTTCCTCATCCTTCTGACAGTCAAAGACACTGAAAGTGCCTGTGCGCTATGATAAAAGTTCAGAGTGAGAAAGTAATGGAAATTCTGAAGCCCCTTGCTGAAGGCTACTATGGATGTAACTCACAGGTCAGTGACAAAAGAAAATTGAGGAAGCAAGGGCAACATTGTCCGGTAGCACATTCACAAAAATGGAGTGAGAGGATTCAAATGCCACAGTATTCTAAAAGGAGAATGTGAGATTAAGACAGACATAAAGTCTATGAAAAGACTGAAAGGAGACCACTCTGGGGGAGGCAGTGTCCTTAAAAGTCACCGTGTTAAGGGTTAGGAACCAGCAGTTGTGCAGATTGCTCCAGAGCCATAAGACACTCTTGTACTTGCAGATGTTTTCAAAAGATGACAGAATGATGCAAAAAGGCAGTCTGATGAACTGTCAAATGACAGTACTTTAGTTCAGAGAACAGCGCAGATGAGGATTGTGTCAGCATCCATTAGTGGGGACTTGCTGTACTCCTCCACATCTGATCCAAAGATAAACTAGGACGACCAATCGCATTTAAACTCACATCACAATCTAATAGAACACATCTGTCAAATTGCAAAAGCTGCTATTAAAAAAAAACAAAAACCATTCCAGGTCGGAAGCAGCTAGCCATGTCATGACAGCATGTGTCATGTGTGAATAAAAAGAGATTTAGGAAAACAACTTGTAAAATGCCACACGCAAGCTTTAATGCTCTAGTACTACTGTGTGAAAATGGCCAAGGCCAGGTTAAAGTGCAATCTACATGTTTACATATTACATTGTTTGCTGTAGCAGGTGTGTGGTCAAGGGAGACAAAGAGAGTTATGGTGGATGAAGTACGAAAACAGACAGGAATAGTTAGTAAAATGTTTACAACTAGACTTTAAGTTATATACGCACTGTAAAGTGGTAGAGTCAGATTCAATAGCCTAATGATGCGCAGGTCAACCACAGCCCAGGGGTCTTGCAGGTTGACCTGCATGTCAGGTGGTTAGGGTAGGCCGGTTAGAAAATATCACAGGTTTCAGGTGGGAAGGTCATAAAGTCACAAAGCAGCATTCTGAGTAAGTTATTAATGACTTCCAGGAACACTAAAATAGATAAATAAAGATATATAAAATCAATTCATGTAATTGTAACATAATGTTATGGCCTGGGCTACATCAAACAGCAGATGATATGTTGACTGTATCTGATGTGTTGATCATACTGTGGAACGATTTACTGCTTGTCTTTAGTGAATAATGAACAAATTGCATACTGAATCGGAATTGTAATGTACTCTAAAACTAAAACAAAAATCACAGAGTATTTTCCCATATTGTTCAGCCTGAGGATAAACCCTGTACATTTCTAACTTGCATATTTCATCCACCGTGGTCAAACTACAAAGCCGAGACTCTTTGACTCAAATGGTTCAGGACACTAATTGGCATCAAAGAGATTCATATAATGTTTATATAAATCTAAATAAATCACTATGTTTTAAATTAATGACCAAGTTGTAAATCAGTCAAAACCGGTGTGGCTAATGTGGTAGGACCAGATAAATTATACATATAAGCATATGTAATTGAAGATTTACACATACAGCTGAATAGAAAATATAAGCATGCTGTGTTTTTTATGCTTACCATGCATATCGACCAAGGCCAATACACACTGCTGAAGCAAAAGATGACTTACGACTAACGATATCAACAGATTATCAGATGTATCAGAGGACAATTAGAACTTTGATTTTGTGTTGTAGCATTAGGCCCGCCTCTCAAATCATCCAATTGAACAATGGGAAAAAAGCGGACATGCCGTGGAGCACTCTTCTGTTCTGAGTTGAATTTTTTTCAACTCCAGAACACTCTGACAAAAACACCAGGTGCCTAGAGCACAGAAACACAAGGCACACAGCAATGCAAAAACAGCAAATAGAAAGCTTCAGTCTCATTAAAATCAGTTACAAAAAACCACCTCAAGCAGCTAAAACGGTTTCTGTGTGATTAGGGTTTTAGTCCTCATGTCCAAAGACTTGTCAGTCAATTCAGGGATGCATCTATTATTTATACGTTATGCAGATTTAAGTTTTGTTCACACTAAAATGCAAGGCAGATTTTCACCTTTCGTTGCTAGTTCCAATATGGCCGCTGGAGTGTTTTTTGGAGTGTTTCACAACTCATGAATATTCACCCTTAACATCTGTGCTGACTGTTGTGCTAACTAACAGAGGAAGCAGCTAACGCTAATGTTAGTGAAAACTTGGTTTGTAGAAAAGTATAACCAATCTAGTTTCAAGTGATGTGAACATGTTGAACAAGGAGGCTTATGACCACGGCAACAATCTTTGATATTGTCCACTGCAGCACATGATGACTTCCCTTGATCTGTTGTTTACCATCTAAAATAAAAGACCCAGTTAAATCACTAAGAGCATTTCCCTAAGAAACAACCCACTATTCTCCAAGACCTCTCCTTATTTTTTCTAGCTCTGTACAGAACTGACATTGAGTAGTAGAGCTCCAGGCACCCACAGACAGCTACAATATGTTGGTCCTAAATTTCTGATTCTGGGTACTGCCAGAAGAATCTCAAACAGATCTCTACACTGAAAGGCTTTCACAACACAGTGTCATGCGAATTGACACTTCTGCGTTGCATCATTCATCATCCTAGCTCAGCATGAATTTGCATCTATTAATGTCCTTGCATTGACTTTGTACAGCCCCACTTGAAAAATTTGTGTTACGTTTGGTGACCGTACAATATGTCAAAAACACATTAAGTTTTCAAACTCTTTAGAAATAGTCATTAAATGCTCAGTGGTGCTTTGAGCTAAACGCCAACATTAACACGCTAACTTGCTGATGTTAAGCAGGTATAATGTTTACCATGTTCACCATCTTAGTTGAGGATGATGGGAATGTATTTGGTAAAATACCTTGGGTATGTAAAGTATTGGACATATTGGAATTTTGAGCTGATGGTGGCTCTAGAGGGAAAAGGCAGTGGATCACCAACATCATAACAAATCATCCTGAGGGGGGCATGAATGTATGTACCAAATTTTACTAAATCCATCCCACAGATTGTTGAGACATTTCACAAAATAATTTCAACCTCATGGTGGCACTAGTTGAATAGTCAAGTGAAGTTAAAGGGATGTGTCATCTTGGCACCATACATATCTGCACCAAATGCCATAACAATTTATAAAATGTTTGTCAATCTGCTGGTTCTACCAAAGGAAAGGGGGCTGCTAAAGTCAGTAGAATCATCATCTGGGCAGCATAAATGTCTGTGGAAAATGTAATGGCAATCAATATTTAGGTCTGAACTTAAGTGGTAGACTGACAGTCACTGCCTTTGGAGCCACTTGCATGGCTAAACTTGTGAAAATACTACACTCTCACTGACCTCATCAACCTCTAGATAATTTTGCTTTCTTCTTTAGTTAACAGCATCAGACAATTTCCTATGGGCCTACTTTCTGTATGTTTGTGTGTGCAGTTTGACGGTATACTAACTCAACAGCGAACACTGGATTGTTGTGAAGGTGAGGAGATTTTATTTTTCAAGCTCCTCTCTAAATTTTATTTCAGAGAGGAAATCCTCAGTATTTATCCCGTGGAGATGCCAAGCTCTATAGTGGATAAGGTTTGCAATTTAGGCCACCTTTTCACAGAGTGCCAAAAGTGAGGTCCCTTCAAAAGTAAAGTAAAAGCCATCAACAAGTCTGGAAATTACTGGATGCCAGAAAGAAAGCATGACAATAGTGTTAGTCTGTCACTGATGTCTGTTTACAAGCAGTACTCTGGCCCTATTCATCATCCAGCCACCTTTCGGGCACACATTGGTGTGTGAAATGTTATTTATTTAGTTAAATAAACTGGCATCCCCATGAACCTGTTTATTCACATCATCTTGATTTAGCTGTGTGAGTTATGACGAATTTCTACGAAAGTGTCACAGCAGATTGGTGCACGTTAGAGATGATGACAGTGTTGTCACTAAAGAGCACTTAAGTGCTCAAAAGAATAGGATGCCAGAATACGTCTCATTTAGCCATCAACGACTTAACAAATAATGAGGTAGAAGGCATTCCCTGCTATCAACTTAGATGGTTTTGGTGTCAAAACAAGCCGCTTTATGGATATGACACCACTTGACAGGTCTTATGTCATGTGTACAGTGCTGTCATTTGGACGTCTAAGTGACCATGTCAAATTAGTTCGAAGCCACTTATCATGTCACTGTTTTTCAATTTTACTGCTTTGGGCTCATCAATTTTGTTTAGCATTAAGGGCATTATTTTGAGGTTGCTGACAGGCTCTTGACAGTTTCTAAATGATGTTTCACATCTTCCAGTGGTTCATTCGTTAAAAGCCTGGCTTTTGGCCAGATGTCGCTTCACTTGCCAGAGAGAGCACAGAAACAGTCTGCCTTCTCTGCATGCGTGACATACAGTACCTCTGAAGGTACTCATGAAGTTACTTGACTGCTCTCACATCACGGAGATGGAGCTTTTATAGATGTAAGTGCTACTATTAGTATCCAACCACCAGAGCAGTATTAGGTCATGGGGATTCCTTTGTGAGGCCATTGATGCTAGTCAGTGATTCAAGATGAAACCATTCTAATCAACAGAGGGATTAGCTCAAGTGTGCTATCAGTCCTCACTTATTTCTTCTTCTCTCTTTTGATCCCCTTTTCTCTGTGAAATAAACTAAAGATTGCTCCACATGTTATATATATGTACAGTAAAGCACACCAGGTGAGACCAGGAGAGGTGCGTTAAAAGGAACTAAAAAGAGCATTTGGGATTCATGGTGTACTGTTGTTTCCCCCACAGCAAGGATCCGCTACCAGCCAGCCCTGCCCAGCCAGAGAGAATTCCTTACTCAGAACATGCCTGTGGGCCACATGATAAAATTCATTATTACCTACCAGACGGTGAGTAGCAGAATATAAATCACGACTGAACAGACGCTTACATGAATAATGTTATGAAGACACAAATTTAGAAACATTAATTTTAAACAATCACTCTTTGTCCTCTAAACAGTTGTTGCAGCTTTGACATATTTTTCTTCCCCAGAGGGTTTAACTCTAAATAATGGTGTAGACACACACATACAGAAAATAATGATTTAGTTTATGAAGCAGGTTGGCTACGGTGGATTATTAAATTGGCCGTACTTACAAAGAGGTGAAGCTATTTCAGTTTATGATACATAGAAAACAGCATTTGTAAACAGCATTTGTTAGGGGTTGAATTGCAAACTCGATACAGTTTATGAAAAACATTTAATCACACTACATGCTTGTCATATTTGATATTTTACAGTTGCAACGCAGGGGCCCATTTTAAAAAGCAATTTGCGAGCATTGCTTACACGCAAATGTCGGCTGCATCATGTTTCACAATTGATTGTTTCTTGCAAATTGCAGATACATTTATCAGTTGCATGGGCTGCAACTACAGCGTTTGATAAGGAAATTTTGTTAAAATGATCATATTTTCGCTTGGCAGCCTTTTATTTCATGTAAATTCAAGAATGCTTCTGAGCAGTGGCATCAGCAGAAGAGAGGGAAATTTGTTTTTAAAGAGGTCTTTGTTTACCTGTTTCATAAAATAGAAAGCCTGCGCAGCAGACAACAGTTGACTCATCTGGCACAAGTTCTTCAGAGATGTCAACACTTTGTACAAAAGAGCATCTAGCACATGAGATTTGATTTGTTTAATCTTTTCCATCTTGCACTTTACAACCACGAAATTAATTAACAAAATGCTTGTGCACCTTGTTAGTAGATTAAATTTGTCTACTGTAATGAACACAAAGTCATTAGTGCTTAGATCTGTGCCTTGGGGTCTTGCCAAAAAGCATTTGGGTTCTGATAAACAAAAACAAAAATATTGTTCCCTGATCTAGAATACAGTTTGTTTGGTATCCTTCCTCTCAGTTCGTAGTCTTCTACATGATTACAGAGCTTATGTTTTCTAACTAGATATAAATATGACATGCAAAGTGTAAAACAGGAGGTGGGCTCATGTGACTGAAACATGCAGTACTCCCATATTAAAATAGTACAGTGAAAAGTGAGGGCGTTTAGCAGTGTGGAGGAGTGTTTACATTCCTGACATATGGCAGGCAACGGTGGATGTAAAAGCAGAGAATAGGTCTAAAGCAGACTTAACAGCAGCTGAGTCAGAAACACAGATGCAACAGACCAGTGCACTCAACACTGATAAAGGCAAGATGACATTACGCCTGAGCCAGGGCCGACAACACAACCAACAAAATAGGTGCAGACTATTATGTGACTATATACAGGTGAAACAGACAAAAGGCTGTGTCTGAAATCACTCCCATTTACGACATAATACACTACATGTACCCACTGTCGTTTTATTTCAGTGTAAATGCTTACAATATATGTCCTTCAATAATGTCCACAATGGAACAAAGATGTAGCATATATTGCAGGGAAACCTCTTTCTACTTCTTTCTTCTGTATCCAACTATACACAATAGTGCAGCATTTTGAAAACGTAAAAATCACAGTTGCACAATAAAGCTTTTAGTGATTACACAAAGTGACTATGCTTAATAAATGTCCAACATTGACCTAAGCTGAATCCTAATATCCGCTTGTGCACACCTCGCGCATACGTCAGACCAGGTGTAAGGACAGTTTTAACTAAGATAGCGGCAAGTGATATAAAGAGGAGATTGAATACAGGGTGAGAAACCGGGAATTGTGGGGGATTTTTTGCAGGCTACACAGAGCTACTCAAAATGCCGATCAAAGGCACATTTATGAACTTAATTTCTATTATTGATGAATAATAAATCTAACCACTTTTTATTTACATTTCAGCCACCATCTCCCTGTTAATGACTTTTTAATTTTAATGTTGAGAAGAGCTTTTTGATGTTAGTTTCAACATGAGCGCCATGAATGAATCATTGATCAACCTTATGTGTAACAATAATCATGACTGAGATTTTTACCATTACCATGGTAAAAATCTCAGTCATGATTTTTACCATGGTAATGGTTTGCAGAAATGTGATTAATTAGTGGTGCGCAGGATAAAAACATCCACAGCTGTGGGTAATAGCAGCTGTTCTGGCACCACTGGAGAACCTTGCCGATGCAACACAGTTGGTGAAACTATACTTTATTTGCCGTATTTCTAATAATGAGTGGTGGAGCGGGAATTGATACTGATTGCAAACAGTTGTTTAAGGGTGTTGCTTCATCAATTTGTGGGGAACTGTAGTGGTGGCAATTTTGGTAGAGATTTATAAAATAGAATCAGAGGTGCGCAAGGCTTTATAAATCTGGAGAAAAGATGTGCATGCACATCTCTGCTTTGGTGCATACACACAAAGTCATGAATCTAAACAAAGTTTTATGCAGTTGGCTCATGGACTTTCCCAAACTTGTAGACTCACACACACTTTACATGCACAAAGTCGTGAACTCTGCCATGCCAGTTCAAATATATAATTTATAAGGTCTGGATGGGCAGTTGGAAATTAGCTTTTTTTGTCCACCTGCCACTCTGGCTGGTAAATTCTACCAGCCACTCAACAGATCACCATTGTTTCTGTGGATGGTGAGAGAAGCAAATCTAGCTGCCACTTGTATATTTTATCAGCATTTGGCTGGTGGCTGGTGCCAACTTCCAAGTCTGGCTTCATGCAAGCTTACTGTGGACCTCCAGAGAAATCTGCTCCAAGTGCAGACCACACCAGTTTGGAAGATCGCTCATCAAATAATAATAAGACACAATTTCAGGGTTAATTTGTGGCGCACCACCACAATATCACCAGTTGCACCACATTTTTTCGAGACCAAGGTGGCAAAGGCCTGTGGCGGGGGGCATCTTGACAGCTGTACTTTTAGATATGGTCCCCCCCTCTATCAAATATGAAAGGAGGCCCCCACATGCTTGAGCTTTACACTGCTGACTTGTATAATCAGAACAGACATGCCCTGTGATTTTCAGCCTTCTATGAATATTTACCCTTTACAGAAGGCACATACTGACCACTGAGAATATTACTGTCAGGTATTGTCCCCCCTCTATTAAATATGAAAGGACACTGAAAATCACAGGACATGTCTGTTCTGATGATGCAAGTCAGCGGTCCTGAACTGTGTGTTTCTCTTCTTCTCTTCGCCGGACGAAAAAACAAGCGTGTCACACCAAATGCTCACCGCTACAGCATTGCTTTGGGTTGTGAGCGCGCATGACATGCCTCTACATTCAAAGTAATGGGTGTGTGCACATAAAAGACACTACATCTGAACGTCCCCCATGCACACACACTCTTTAACCAAGGCGGCAGCAAAAATCACCCAGGTGCCTATCTTAATCTTAGATAGGCAGTGAAAACCCTGGAGGTGCGTTTCCCTCCTTCTCTCGTGGCAAAGCATACTCTAGGCACATACGGAGCAGCATCATAGCAAGCACAGTGAAAGTGAAGGTTTTGGTGTTATCTACTGTTTTTCAACCTGTACTGTGTTCCCATGGAAACCGCACACATCACAATCCAATGATGGGTTTAACCCGCAAAAGGCAGTTTGCTTTCACTCGCTTTTGCCACAGCTGCACCTCTAATCCTTCTATCTGAATTTATCAGCTCTAAGTGATCAGACCACTTACTGACTCGAAGTCCCGATTGTGATGATCAAACTCTTTGTTCACCAACTCTCCATCACGCAACTCAAACTCAACAAATTGCTACTGAGGAAAAAAGTAAAGCAAAAAACCCGATTTCAGAGTGGGGTCACAGACTGATCACAAAGGGACAAACAGACACGCACACACAAAGAAAGTTTGCCTTTCCAGCACCAGTGAGTTCTGGTTCTTCAACACACACACACACACACACACACACACACACACACACACACACAAAATACCAAGAACCTGGTACTAGCTCACCTAAATGAAATGCTGTCATTTCTGATACTTCTCTTTGTACATTTTTAACTCAAGGTGATGACAGAAACATGTCACCACCAAGGGCCCTGTCCGCAAGACCTGTGGGTGAACATTTGGATTTAGTCTTGAACTGTGTCTGTACATGCCTCAGGGGCAGCCTCGCCACTGCTGTTACACGGCTTTACTTTGTACGACCAATGTTGTGCTGCATTTACTGTGCATGTCTCAAAGCTCTCTAATGACTCAGAGAGCCACAAAATCTGAAACTCATATCTTACTCTTGCTGAGAGTATGATCCTTGCTATGTGAACCAAGCACAACCATTTGGTGCATTCATTCTAGGGAAAGAAATGCCAATGCCCTTATTGACTTTTACTTACCTGTCTGATTCTTTATCAATTCCCTTGTTAATTCCTGATCAGTGTAAAAGAGGGAGCTGGTGGGCGAGTGGAGCCAGCTGTAGCCCGAGAGCTACCTGCAGCAACAGTGTCTGTCATGATCTAAAATGGAAGAAATGAGAGAACATTTGTTTAGCATTAGTTTCTCATTTAGGTTTTCTAAGTCAAAGAAAAATCTGCTGAGCCTGCCTGTGTGGAGCTAATGTTAATATAACAGAGGATATTTACCCTCAGTAATGGACATGCTGCTCAACTGGGAAGCAGTGTCAAATATATGGATTTTCTGAAATTTGAACCCACGCTATGTAGAAAGATTTTCTTACCTGAAATGATCATTTTTACAGACATTACTGGGTTTTTTTAGTGAAATGAAGCTTTGGACCATTTCTTCTCTTGTAGGCTCTCATTTGTTGTGCGAAACCATTCAACATGCAATCTTAACCTCCCAGCTCAACCAATTTAGAGATAATAAGGGCTGTTTGAATACAATGATTAACAATCACCTCCGATTTTAGCTAGTCCTCCACAATGCGTACCTCCAAAGTTAAACCTTGGCCCTTGCCATCAATTCTAAGTGTCAGTATACTTGGTAAAGACACACATTGGCCATGGTCAAATGCAGCTACTTGAAAAAAGGTTATTGAGCAGAAGAAAGTCCACTGATCTACAGGCCTCTCACCTAGACCAAGGTCCCCTGAGCTGTACTTTGAGGACCTGAGAAAAGCTGTTCATGCTTGAAAACCCACAAAAGTCATCGACTAGAAGAAGGTCTCGCATGAAAGAGGGAGCCAAATACTTCCACAGTGTGGTGAGAGACTCATCGGTTTCTACAGGAAACATCTGGTTGTACTTGGTGCCATTCATTGAGCCTATGGGGCAATCATGTTTTTTTTATACAGTGGCATTAGATGGTAAATTATTGTGATATGCTGACTTTAAGAATAATTTAGTTTTTCAAAAAGTCTATCTATTCACTCAGGGTCTCTCACCTTAAGAAAATTTAAAGTGAAAAATATCAAAATACTCAAGTCCATCAAGGCCCCGCTATCGTCTGAACGAATGGAAATACCATGCAATTCACTCATCCTTATAGCTGTGATTAAACCAAATGTCTCGCTTCGCCTGAAAACAGCTTCGGAGGGAAGTACAAAGTGCATAGAAACACCTCCTTTAAAAGGACACCAAGACACACCAGCAATTTCCACTGAAGGGAGAGGAAGAGTGAGTTTAGGGCTGGACACTACCATCTTCCTCTCTGTCATTTCAGAGGAGAATAATTTAAAAAACAACCCTCTCGCTAAACCCACGACCACAGGAAATCACTGAGACACTCTGATAGCAGATGGCAGCAGACACCTCTCTAGTAGAAGATGTAATAAAAGAGAACACTGAGCTGACCGAGCAGTTCACTGGAACACTCTTGTCACATTACTTGTGCAAGCCCAGGGACTTTACATTTTCAGCATAAATAGTTGAGTCTGCACTCCTGCCTTGGATTATCTCCTCCACAGTGGGCGACAATCCTAGAAGCACCGGCTTGTCCCTCTCAGGTTCCAAGTCCTTAGAGGCAGCCTCAGGCCGGGCATCACATCTGTCTCTGCACTTACCTCTGTCGACGCTCTCCAGTGTTGGGTAATTTGTCAGGGCAGCGTCCTAATGATCTCAACGTTATATGGAGCTTATGTGAGCACTGGATGTAAAAGATTGAACATCAGCAAATTCTATAGCCTTCAGGAGCCCATTTGTGCATGGTGTATGTGGTGACAGGTCAGGCTGAAGCTGGCAGGGGGTGTTATGTCTTCAGGTAAAAAGATCCATATGTGGCTTCCTCAACAAGGTCCAACAATGTCAAAATTGTGACCAGGCAGGTTAAGTAGCTGAGACAGAAGAGACTAGAACACGACGCTGTGTTTTTGCAGAACTACAACCTTCCAGCATGCTGTGCATCTGTATTGCCAGGAGCTGCCTCCTCTCCTCAGTGTCTCCTGAGGTGTCGAACAGAATGAAAGTATGCCATCATACTTCACGCTTGTTGATCACTCAAATTAGCCTCCCTGACAGTGCTCTTTGGCAGGACAGATGTCCTGTGCAGAAAATGGATGGGTCTGGCCCTGAAAAAACAATTTTAAGAAATAAAAGAACAGTGTGCCGCCATAGAAAAGAGATATTAGATTATAAAATTATTGTTCTGTTGGAGAACAAAATTGTTATGCAAGAATGTTCCTCTTAAAGCAATGCCTCAGAGTGCAATGTAAAGAAATGATGTCTACTGTATTTGCTTACTGTAAGTTTAGTTTTTCTTCTGCAGTCTAAGATAAATTTCTTCAAACAAATGACAAGGCAACTACACCGAATTAATTCCTTTAATTATCCTTTATCAGATAACACTGGTATTTATTAAGGATTAAAAAATGTAACAGTCAGTGTTTCAGACTCACATTAGCCTGATCATAATGTACCAGGCAAAGTACATCTGCATGAATGGATAAATGTACATTTAAATTCATATGCATCCAGATGTAGGCATATATCTGCATGCACATGCAAATTCAAACGCATAAGCACACACTGGCAATAGTTAGAAGTGGTACAAAGACTGCCAATATAATCCTCACAGTATTGTAACATCAGAGTAAGTCACAAAATGAATATATGCATGACTAAAAAATGTCAAAGAGAAGTGTCATTTGGTGCTCACTCAGAAAAGTCTGTACTACCCAAAAGCCTTGGAGACAGGTTCATCACAGTCACTTATTATTACATGAGGCAGCAAGGTTGCCAGAAGACTACACATAGCGTGTGCCAGAGAGCCAAATACTTACTTTTTTATGAGACATTTGTACTACATTTAAACTGTAGGTCTCATGCTATCTTGTGAAGGACCATAGCATGGCCTTGAGACTCTTGAGATATGATGCTGAAATTATAAAATCTGCCCTGCCCATATGAAATGTATTTTACTTTGTTTGTACATATATTACAACCCGCAGTGTTTACTCAAGTCATTGTCCATAATTTTGGCCAACTTTTAGATCACAGGCAAGGTTATGTTTATACTGTATGATTTGTGAATGGTAGTTTAGTACCACACAGTTATACTACTCTGCATATTTTGTGAATGACATGTATTCCTCACACAGAGCTAACTCAAGTGACTTGCATTTGTGACAGCATCAAAGGTTAGTTTGGGGTATAACTAGCCTTCATCTCTTATAGTCTTAGATGAACAGCTGCTGTTAGGGCACAGCAAACTCCTGTCATGTAGTTCTGGGTTATATCATTTAACAACCACAGCACCAACCAAATGGGCAAAACAGTAGAAGTAAAAGTAAAGACACAGTAGCTGTGTTACCAATTTGGCAAACAAATGTAAAAAAATAAATAAATAAATAAATAAATCAGTTTTTCTGGTGCACTGACACTAGGGCTGGGTACCAAACTCTGTACTGAACAAATTATGTCAGCACCACCGAGTGCCAATTCACGATAAGTCCATCTGTGCCAAATGCTGGCACCTGAAAGTGCATCTGGGTGAGAACATATTGTCTAGACAGAGGCAGAAGTGCCACCAAAGCCTGCAACCAGACAGAGCTCCACAGAGTTCAACTTTAGACAAGAGGTGGAAGTGTCCTGAAGCCAGGAAACTGGCCATGGTTCAGTCTTCCTCCCAGCTAGCCAAAACTATTGCTGCACCACAGATGTGCCGCAATGGTTTCTCCATCTGGTCTATATTCTTTTTGGTTTCTCCATCTGGTCTATATTCTTTTTTATATTATTTTAGTAATAGCTGAGTGTCACTGCGAGACAAGCAGACACATACACACAGTCTACTATGTTGCCCCTGCAGCTTGTTCAAAAATTACATACTTACTTTACTTACAAGTACAGAAAACAAGTACTTTCAGGTGTGTATATGTTCAAAAATTTCACTGGTGTAAATCTCAAAATGACAGTCAAACATTGGCTCTGCACCATTACAACGCCGGCGTATGCCTGAGGTGCGCCAAATAGGCGAAGCCTGCACATAATTTGACAGTTATCCCTGCTGGCAGATACACTGGATCCACCGCTAAATTTCAGAGGGAGAGCGGTGTTTACGACACCATGACCACATGGCTCATACAAGCACAAACAAGTCAAGGGAGATTGATGAGACAGAACTGATAAATGTCAGATTTTGGCAAAATCCTACTGTGACATCACTGTCCATGCAGGCAATTATTCTTCTCCTAGGAGAGCTTCCATGGCTTTTGCCCCGTCAGCTGACGCTGTTTATTTTGTCAGTTGGTTGACAGATTACACTCCACTTAAACAGCTTTCCTGGCCCTCGCCGTTACATGTTATGCAGTGTAAGGGTGCACTAAAACGGAGCGCACCCACACAAGGCACATGGAGCAGCGTTCACAAATGCAGAGTCCAACTACAGTTTGCATTTATAAAAGAGACTGCTCTTTTCTATTTCTTTGGCAGTTTGGCGCCTTTCCCTGTGCACTATGATTATAATGATAATGCCACCACATCAATGTAGTGCCGCAATTGCATTTACAAATCACAAAAATCTTCTAAGTGCAAAGCTTGTTAGAAAATACTATTTTCCATTAACACTTGTCAGAGTTTTGTCAAGAGCTGGAGGCGGGACAAAATTTGATGGAGGCAGCCGCCTCCAAATTCTCTATGCAGGAGAAACCCTGTAATTGACACACTGGCATATAGTCAGCATATGCTTGGCATTATTGGCATTAGGCATTATTGTACTCTACATTATTAACAGTTGCTTATTTACTAAGTTACTAAAAATGGTGTTGATCCCTCTGAATAAACTCTGTGCATAATAATTAATTGGCTTGGTCAAGGATGGTGTTAGAGGGAGACAATTCAAGAAAGCAAATTGCCCTCAACCTCAACTAACTTTTTCCATTTTCCATTTTTATATTCTGTGGTACTTAGTTTAATGGCAAGGGGATACTTTTAAACTACAATGCTGAGACAAAAGGTAGCCCTCAAGTGAAAAATGTTTCACTGCTACAAATGATAACCTTACTTATGAATGCTGTTGAATGTGGCACTTGTGTGACAATAACATCCTGTTTAGCTTTCAAGTGCAGAACAATCGATCTGGGCGGATGTCTGTACTAAAAGAGATGGCCCTCAATACAGCTTATGTACAAGTGGGTTCTAGTTGGGTTTTGTGCTTCTGTAATTGCTGCTGATATATGATAAAGCCATGAGCTCTTTCTGTTTCTCTACAGGCTTTTTGGAGGAAGAAAGGCTTCTCTGGGGAAATAGTGACAGGATCCTCTACCGAGTGTCCATTCTGTGTTACCTTTGATGCCACCAGCCCCAATGGTAATGCTGCCTTGGTAGGCTTCATTGCTGGCGAGCAGGCATCCCAATGGAGCTCCAAGGAGGTAATGTGGAGACGGATACACTTATTAGTATTTATCTATAATTTAAACGTGTCATGTTCCCTTCTTGTAACACAGCCTCCTGCCGTTAGTTTGGATTTTCATTGTGATTCATTACCGTCTCATGTTAATTTATAATGCATAGAAATGGTAAATGAGAAAAGTAACTGATGCACATTTTTTCCATCATCAGGGTGATGTGTGTGTTATATTTAAATTGATAATGGATAGAAACTGTGGTTTGCCAAGCTCATACTGTGGGCGGGCATGTGATATTCCATTATCAAGAGCTATTCCTAATATTATGAGTTACCTGATGAGATTTCAATAGCTCTGAAGTCTGGGAGTTTCGTTAGACATAAATTGTATGATAAATCTAGGTGCATATTAAATTGTGCCTTCTCCTGGATCAGGGATTGATGGATTATCAATCTAGCAGCTGCAATATTCAGTAGGGATGCAAGATAATATTGGCACGTCATCGTATAGGCTGATATTGGCATTTAAATGAACAGAATGACCAGAATGGGCCAACATGCTTTTTTCTTATTATGCACAATGAATTAATATTACATACACTGAATAGCATTCTATTTCATGTCTCCATCTGCCAGTGGGCCATCACAATGAGAGTATGCATGCATAATATGACGTTAATTCCACTACAGAAGAGATCTGATGATCACTTAAATTACTTGGGAAAAAGTGGACATATCAATATCGGTATCGGTTATCAGCCAAATAAGTTGTTATATATCAGCGTACTGGACAACGGCAAAACAATCCAATATTATGTGTCAGCGTCTCTAATATATAGCATTTTTAGGAGTATATGAATTATTTGTTTAAATCTGATTGATAAACATCAACTGAAAAGTGTGGTACCACTGCCTCTCCGTGTCTTTAGTCACCATTCTTTAGCCTCACTCATTGTCCCACCCACAGCATTAATTAATTTGTTGCATTGCATATCACGAGTAATGGCCAATCAACACTATCGGCTGTTGTGCCTAAGATGGTAAAGACAAACGTAGACGGTAGCTGCTACTGTGAGCGAGCAGAGCTGTGTGCTGGACCTAAGGCAGCAGATATTGAGATACAAGGGAGAACTGTAAGGAGAGGAAGATGGGGTGAGACGGCGCCTGGACATGAGAGAGTGATAAGACGAATTTATGAGGATCGAGGCATTTCATTCACCAGATGTATATGTGTAATATGGACCTGCCAATGCGCATTCAACCCACGTCTGACACATTCATGTATCAGCCACCACTGTGTCACTTGTAGAAGAGACTTGATTCTGCAGTGTAGCTGACGCACTGGTAAAGCAGAGAATAATACAGTAAGATCAGGCTTCATGATCAAAGAAAGGTTTTGCATTGCAGCAGAACTTCAGTCAGTGCTCTCTGGATGGATGCACTAAAGAAAAGGTCTCTAAGTGCAGTATGGGAGTATTACACATACCAACACTGGGGAAGGCAGGCTGCAAAACATGCAAAGAAAATGGAAAAGCAATGGCTCTTTTTTTAAGATAATGTTAAAAAGTTCTCCTTCGCAACATTTAGGATGCTTTCAGACCTAGAGTTGTCTTGCTTTGGTCCGAATCAAGGACTAATTTTTTTGTTACAAAACTGTATAATTGCCGAGAGTTGGTTTTGTGTTCTCACAGCAGCATTTATATGAGGACCAGATAAAATGAACTGCAACAGAAAGCTGCTCTGGTCAGAATTTCCATGTGGGAAAAATCCAGGAAGTAAACAAAACGTTGAAGAAGAGTACACTTACAAGATAAATGTGACACTTTCTAATGTCACAATGGAGGGACAACTACGCAGGTTGATTTTAGCGCTGCTCATCGTGGACTATATTGCTGTCATTGTTCATTTTAGTCAAACCATACAGTTTGAAAACGAGGCACGGCTCCAACTAGAAAACAATGTTTTGATGCATTGGATGTGCTGAATGTGCATATTAAGGCAGCACAGGAGGAGGTGCACATTAATAATCCTCCAGGACTGTAACATGCTCATGTTTAACCCAAACAATGTGTCATGTGACTGCAGTTGGTTCAGATCCAGGTCGGAATACGTTCTCACCAGAAACAAACTGCATCAGAGTTCCGAGACCACCTCTTCAAGAAGGTCTCGGTCCGGTTGTTTTGGTTCACACCTGCCCAAACAAACTGTGCTTAGGGGGCAAACAAACTTGAGTTCGACTGAACCGAACCAAACAGGGCAGGTGTGAAAGCTTGCGTAATTTAACATTAACTTAATTAACTTAAATCAGTTCCAAATATCTGTTAGTCTCCTTGACTTCTAATAATCACTATTGGCCCTGAAAGCACCTATCAGTCAACCCCTACCCTGGATGTACTTTGGCTGGATTTTAAGCATCACTCACACGTGTTCTGACCATTTCTCCTGCATGTTCAAGGTTGAGTCTGGTGAACTTTTTGTGTGGACACAAAGGCAACATGGTGTGCATTGTCCGACTAATGTTATTGTGTGAAAATGCTCAGAGGCAGCGTTATGAAAATGTATGAGTGAACAGCACAGCGTGAGGAGAACAGTGGGGGACTCCTGCCAGCTTTCAATAACTGTTACTTTGGTAAATATAGAACAAACTTTTGAGTTTTTCAGTTCAGAGCCACAGAGTCATTTTATTCATTTTAATTATTTTTTTATTCTTGTGATACTGTTTTTAAGCTTCACAACTGTACTTGGAAGGTGAAACAAAGACTCTATTTGTCATAGACTGGAAAGATGTAAAGAGCCACTTGATGATTAATAGTTATCCATTAGGTGAACTTGTAATCCCCCTATGAAATATCTTCTTACACAGATTTGGCATTGTTTTCATACAGGCGTAACTGTTTCTGATTAAAAAGGTCACGCATACCTCTGGTTCTACTTCAGTAACTGAACTGTGCTTTTGACAGCTGTGATTCTCTTGCACTCCCATACACACTTCTTGCACACCAAGCCTACATCCTCTCCTTGCTTTCCCTCTGAGTTGACATTTTCTTTCAGTGTTTCCCTTTACCTGAAAAAAAATAAATAAATCCAGGCTTGTCTCTGGTGTTGTTTTGGCATTTCACTCATTAGCCCGACTTGCTACAGTGCTCAGGCGTAGCTGTTTCCCTGCTGTGCCATGCTGCACAAAGTGCTAAATAATTAACCTGCACTTGCTACTTTACTGCTAAAGAGAGGAAAACAGTGTTGGTGTGTGTGAGGCGAGTGGACATCAAGTTTACAATTGTGCACTGTTTTGTGCTGTTTAAGTAAGATTTAGCTGTATATATTGATATTTTCCCTATATTTGGCTCTTATACAGCTTGGTTGGATTCACTGTTTTGTTTTTTTGCATGAACGGAGTCCGATCTTGAAGGGCATTTTTTCCTGAGTAATTTTAGGTTTCAGCTGTCAAAATTTGCTGCAGGGCTGCTAATAAACACAGTGTTTTTTGTCATAAATTTGCCATTAAAAGCAATTTTGCACAATGTTTAAATTCCCTCTTTGTTCTTCTATGAGGTGTATTAAGAGACTGAGTTTCAGCAACAAATTATTTCAAAAGCAAGACAAGATAAGGGTGTGCTGAGAGCAAAGGTAAAGTGACATGCAGATGAGGAATCCTGGACAGTTCTGCAACATCTGTCAGCATGTTTTATAGTGATCTGTCCTTTTGGTCCTCAGGCCTCAGCTGCTCTGTGCATAACTCACCACGTGAACTCATACAACCAGGAGCATGTGCTGACCACGCTTGAGTTATTCAAATTGACTGCTGCTTCCTTTGTCCAGCTTAGATTGGTTTCTTGAATATGCATTCATATCTTAGCAGCCCGTGTGAGTGATGAGCAAGTGTAATGCAAGTGCCATGTTGGCACTGATATTTCCCTCTGTTTGCAGGGTGGGGAGAGAAGAAAAGCTGTGGTTTCCAGTCTGGTCAAATACCTAGGTCCTGAGGCCGCATCTTTCATCCATTATGAAGAGAAAGTAAGTAGATCAGTGGCAGATGTCTACTGTATTGAAACAATAATGATTTGGTCTGAGAATTTTTTTAGTGCTGAAATTCATAGCCTTATTTTTAACCTTGCGGTCCACGGAAGAAAGCTAGTTTGTGTAGTAAACGCTTGAAAACACTACTTAGTTTTAGCTTGATAATAGTTACAATCTCACTGGTCTAACATTACAACATAAAACAATACGACAAACAGGGAGCTCAACATTGGTCTAACCTAGACCTGTAATAATCACATTTTTACCACCTCTACTTCTGTATTCCAGCAATGTAACTGTTAATTCACCAGTGTCCAAAACTAACTTTTTGACTCACTGGCCAAGGGGACTGGTAGATGAAAAATTCCACAAGCCAGCATATTTTTTACTTTACTTTAAATAATAAAGTGCCCCCAGGTCACATCTGTACTTGTTTCAGTACATTTCATTGGAACAATAAGGTGTCTTTGAGAAAACAAACTTAAAGACGAGGCCAGAGCAAAAACATTAAGCAAAATTATTCTAATATATTATAGGTGCCCTCTGGTAAGCAGTGCATTGTCCAGGGCTTTTGCTGTGAAGGGTAAGAATGGAAGGAGTGAGGCTAATGCTCTGCTGCTGACAGTGAGGGGCACAATAAGGAATCGACCCATCGCTAAGTCCTGCCCCAGGACGCAGACTGGCCGATCATAAAGTACTATCAGGCTGGATCAGACCAGGGTCCAACAACAACCCAGCTGTGCTCCATTGACTCTAATGCAGATTTCCTTCATTTCAGGCTGGTGTTGTGGATTTGGAGGTAAACGTTGTGCCCCAGGCACAACATTTACCTCGTTACCTGGAGAGGTTGGATAAAAATACACATTTCTTCCCTGTTCCAAAACCAAAATTAAACCCTGAAAAGTGTAGGGTTAGCTAGCTAGCTACTGAAGATATAGCCTACTGAATGTATACACATGCTGCTTTTGCTTTTTAATGATTATAACTGTGAAACAAAGACTGACCCAGCTGTACAGGAACCAGTGAAGGGAAGCAGGGAAACTTTGCTGATATTCAACCAGCTCTGTGTCATCACAGTGTGTGCAAATGAACATTGTTTCACTTCCCCCTTAGAGCCCTGCCCGTTTGGCGGTGGAGGTGTATCTGCACACACTGTGATGCCACACAGCTGGTTCAATATCAGCAAAGTTTCCCTTTATATTCATTGTCTTGTGTGGCGATCAGCAGTGATGTGGTGGTTCACTTTTACACTGTGATCTGTAGCCTTCGGCTTTAGCTTCTAACTATCTTTGTCTTTTTAACCTGTTGTTGCTGCTGAGTCAGTTTGACATCCTGGATATATCCTTCAAACACAGACTGTAGACCCCTCTGTCTGCTTCTCTCTGGAATCACTGGTTCTTTTTTCCGAAAACATGAGAATATTAATTCAGGGAGTGCAGTAAGTTACAGTGTGGGCTCCATGTTTACTCCGACAGCTTGTCGGACCATCACAAAGGGGCGGGCTTAGCGAAAGGTCAATTTGCTGTCTTAGTTCAGACAACAGAGCCTACATGTTATCATTTTATTACTTTTATAATTATGGGCGCAACTTATAAAACTCACCTACACATTAGTGTCACGGACTCTAGCAGCAGACCAGCAGCAAGCGATACTTCAGTGGATCAGCTGATGCCCCGTACTGTAAACACTGCTACAAGAAATGCGTGTCTTTGAATAAATTGGCGTCATGACTGCTCAGAAATACCTGAACAGCCGAGCCGTGGCGGCACACAGGTATGTGACGTGTCAGAGGAGAAACGAGCCGTTCACATTTCTTTGTGTCAGGTAACGGTCCACAAACCTCACCGCACTTTAGGGACTGTTCTTTACTTATCAGGGGAGGAGGGTGGCTGGTTGATTTTTATTTCATTTATTTATTTTATTTTGATACCTCCTATATTAATCACTTATTGATGCTGTTTTTGAAGTATGAATAAGTCAATAAGTAATTTATTCTATTGAAATATCATTGATGTATTATAGAAAAGTGATTTATCTTTTTATAAATGACAAAAGGCACATCTGCCTCATTTTCACTGTGGTATCCTGACGCTACTCAGAACCATGATACTTTCACTGGTATCCTACCGTGGGTCCCAATTTTGGTACCGTGACAACACTAATCTGGAGAGAGTATGAGAGTGGGAGAGACTGTGTGGATGTGTGTGGAGAGAGTGGGAGAGGGAGAGACTGTGTGTGTGGAGGGGGGACGGAGAAAGACAGTATGAGAGGGAGAGACTGTGTTTGTGTATATCTCTATTCATGGTTATTCATTTGTGTGTGAGATAAATAAATCTGGCTTTGAAAATTGGAAATGTATGGATTTTGATTTTATGTCATTTCGTGTTTGTGTGAGAGAGGGAGTGCGTTTGTAAGCACAGGGTGTATGATATGGCTCTTTGTACTACCACGGTAATTTTTGTGGCTCTTGGTCTCTGACTGGTTGGCCACCCCTGCTCTAGATGGTCAGTTTCACAGCATGACACACGCAAAAACACATAATACGTGTAAGTGTGTGCGCAGAGGAGCAGCACATTTGTACATGACACCAAAATGTGGCATGCCCTCAGCTTAGTTTATTATTACATGACTATATTAGTGCAATCATTTACCCGCCAGCATGGTGGATTTACATTTAATCACCAAACAGACAATCTACCCACATTTGGCACATGGCGGGTGTTAATTTTGGACCCTGTAATCCACATTCATTAAATGTGCTAATGTGGACCACAGATGTTTATGACATGATCCATACCCAAAAAGAACAACCATGGAAACATATAGAGAAATGTCACAAATATGAATATCATCACAGCTGAGAACCCTTAAGTAATATTGACATTGCCATCCTAAGTTGAGGTTAGGCAGCATGGCATGATAAAGCGTTCTGGTGAGTTTTAAAATGGCCCTGGGACAGTAGGAAATTACTTTTCTCTGATGGTAGGGGAGGGCATCCATAGAGATAAGCTAGATAAAGGTGACTTTGCTTTTTATTCTCACTGTGGACCTACATGCCTCCCATTAGTTAACTTTCCAAAAAATAGAGGCTCATTTCTTAGACTGTTTTAATGCAAAAAAAAAAAAAAAAAAAAAAAAAAACATTAACAAACACATACATTATACTAAATCCCTGGAAGGTGGATGTTGAAAACCAGCTGATGGAGGGCGGAGCACGACCACCCATTATGAACACACATAAACTACCACTAGCACTGATACTACTGGGAACGAACGTATAACATGCAGTAGATAGTCTGCTTGCTGAATGTTGTGCCACACACATACAGAATAGCTCCTCTGCTCCATTACATGATGCACAGCATACACTGGTAGACTGCTGAACAGCACATTAGTCATGCAGACATACGATTTTAGTCCCAGGACTCCTCACCTCACAGTTGAATGGCAAGATTAAAAGGTAAATTGCCCTGAGGAAACTCGAGGCAGGGATGTTAAGCGATACATCACGATTTCACTTTGTAGAGACTCAATGGGAACATAATTTTATAGAATACAATAACAACAGAGTTTAGTGAAGGGGGGGGGGGCTGATAGACTGATGGTTAAGTACATCTTCAGCCTGATTTTATGGTAGCAAAATAGGATCCAGAGTTTGATATTTTATACTAATTATGTCTGTACTTGTTATTTATTCAAACAGGAAATATACTGACAAGCCAATTACCCACAAGTTCCAAGCATATTTATCATTCTGTTGTGACTGTGTCTACAGTTCTTCTTCTGCTCATTTGCATTTCCATTTTAGGAGAAAAGTATTTATGTTGATGAGTGAACATTTACTTATTGAATTTTAAAAAGGTACTACGCAGGATCTTCCTAAAAGCCCACTCTGAACTACGGGAGCTCAGCGGGAAGCGTTGGTGGCAGATGTGAAAGAGAAAATCGTTTTTCTTTAAAACAAATCGACCTCAACTACAATTCAATTAATCGCTAAAATCGATTTATCGCCCAGCCCTAGTTGATATGTTCCTGGAAGAGTGAATCTAGGGTTGGCTTTCACTTTCGCTGTAGAGTACTTAGAGACAACTGTATCATTGTTTAGAAGGAAGCGTGCATCTACTCATGGAGGAGAGGCCTGTGCTTGTGACCGCACAAGATGTAAACTTTATTAGTGTCCTCCTCGGCTAAGCTGTAATGTTAGCTAGCTCAGTGGTGCTACGTGAACTAGCAGGAGATGCACATTTCCTTCTGCACAGTGGCTGGCAGATGCAGTCTGGTAGAAAGAAAATAGTTCCTCCATGAAACTGCTCAAAACAAGGTCTGTGGATTATTTTAAGTAACCAGGTCATGATTTCTGGAAAGTGACATTTGTTGTTTTTAAGGGGCTTTTTTGTGCTTTGAGCATCACAAGCTGAGTGCCATTTAGTTCTATCTTGCTGGAGAGAAGACAGAGATCTCTACAGCCGATATCTCCAATCGGCAACTCACACCACAACAGTCTAGACTGATACAGATTGAAACGTCCCTTTAAGGCTACTGACCAAATTATGTTGGTATTACCACGTACTAATTCACATTAAATCAAACAGTCCCAAATTTCAATACCTGAGAGCACATTTGGGTGGGAGAGTAGCCAAAGTATACAAAAAAAAGAGAAAGTGAGACTACTTAACCCCTGCAGCTTGTGAAAGTCACAATGAGTCAGGGAAAGAGCGAGCCGCAAGTGGTCACAAGCGTGGTTACACTTTTTAAAAGTCGATGCACAAATTCGATGCAGAAACTCTCACTGCAATTATCTATAATGCAAAAAGCAAAGCTGGCTAGGGCAACATGTCTAACCTGAGCTATAATTTGTCTTGTGTCTAAAATATTCTAAATAAATAAAATGTTTTTAACAAGTAATGATGCTAAAATTGGGCCTAATTTTTACTACTGGTTATTACAGAGTGAAGACAGTACCAAAAAAAGTACAGTTTGGTACTGGTACTGGATTCCAGGTAACGGTGATGGGTATACTATGGGATAATATTAGATTTTCCTGTCTTCAGATGACTGTACATCTTAGATAACAACAAACAATGAAGTATTGGAGGGCTGCAGTTTTTTTTAGTAATGTCCAATCGTCCAATGATATAATGTATTTTCATAAGCTGTGCTTTCAAATAAAATTAGAATAGATCACATTTGGGCAGTGTCATTTTGTTGAAACAAAGCCATGCTTTTGCACTGCACTATGAAATATTACAATGTTAAGTGTCATTTAACTTTTCTGCTCCACAGGACTGGGCTAAGGAGGACTACAGCGGGGGCTGCCCTGTTAATGTCATGGCACCAGGTCTGCTAACATATTACCACCCTAGCCTGAGGAGGCCCTGTGGCAGGTGACAAATACACCACAGAGCACCTCTCCTTCTCCCTGGACTCAAAAGAGTCACCTTTTCTCGACGAAACAAAGGGTAATGTAGAGGGATGCAGTGGAGCAAACTGGCCTGACAGTTTCTAAATCTTTGATATAAATCTTTTCAAGAGCTTAATTTTGACTTAATGTTCAGTAAATTGCAGCATTGTACACTAGATGATAGTATGAGAGATACTGACTGTGGTTGCTAGATGATCGTGCTATTTTTATACCACAGAAGCAATGTCTGCACTTCACCCTGCCAACTAGGTATTACTCACTAGTACCCAGTGCCTACAGATCATTGACATGAGTCGTGGGAGTGATTATGCCTTTGCTGATACACATTAGTCCAGTTCTTAAGAAATGGCAAGAGGTCGTCAGCAGTGGTGTTATCATAGGAAAACGTCCTATAATCCATTTCTAATGGCCTGCTCGGAGATGCACAAAGCTGAACGAATGAGAGCGAGAGGTGGGGAGGAGGATCCAGGTAATGTATTTCCATAATGACATTAAGTCCGTGGGGAGCAGAGCAAGCTCATTACATAACGTGACTCAAACAGCGGCATGGGGCAGCAGCCCTTATCCACAATCCTACCCCATATAGAAAATGGATCCTCAAGGACACGCTGTGACCTTGACACATATCCAGCACGTGTAATGAAGACAAGCCTATGCATGGTTGACAAAAATGCTCCTGGTGCTTCAAACATAACAGCATGGTGGGTTTCAGGAGTGTCTAGTGGATTATGGGATTTTATTTGGGGAATATAACCCTCAATACTGACTGAAGTGTCGTTTTTAGAGTTAATTAGGGACGTCGACGAGTAACCATTTATAGGTCTGACTGGTTACGCATGTCAATCTATAGGTTAATTTTGCAACTCTTCAGTTTAGTAGTATTAACACTGTGTTGTTACACATTAAGAACAAAGCTAAAGATGTATTTATTCTATGCTAGACGGCGCTGTACACCACACAAGTCAAAGGAGATGTTGCTCATTTAGCTATTACTACTGCTGATTACGTCATCTCACCTTGGCTGATACCAAGTGGAGAGCGACTGCTTGTATGTAAGAGTAGTCAACAGAAAAAAATAAGAGGCAACATATTTACAGTGCAAAACATTCAAATTTTATCACCTCTTAATGGATAGCAATCCGAAATGTGGACTAAAAAGAAACAGCCCCTTGAGTTACACGTCATTTTGCATATTTTTTTCCTTTTTAATCTTAAAGTAACTGGTTAGTTTCCGGTTAATCTCTCAAGACAGATTCTGCAATTCTGGGGGCGGGGCAGGAAATGTGTACCTACAGAAACAGCAAGCTCCGTATCCATAGCGACCGCTCCAACCAAAACGCTGTCTCGTCAACGTGAAAAAAAATATTTTTTCCAGCGGATGTCTTAGTCACAACATGACTGAGCTAACTGGAGTAGTTTCATGTCGTATCCGACAACGAGAGGCTTTTAACAGATGACATCCTAATGTTAGGTTTGCTAACTGTCCCTGTCAGCTGCAGCCACTGATGCTTTCTAGACATCGTGATTTCCCATAACTTAATAAATACCACACATAGCAACACAAAACTGCTTTGCTAGCTCAATCATGTTGTAACTAAGATATCTGCTGGAAAAAATACTTTATTCATGGAATATTTATTGAGTTATTACCTTATTTTTATACAGTCTATGGTTATTACAGACACCGCTAACGGCTAACATTAACAGCTAACGGTTAGCCCAGCTAATCTATGATAACCATATTAATAATTACAAATCGTGCACACAGAAATAGTAATGTTTGTTCAATCATTGTGTTTATAGACTTCACAAACATCAGAATAGTCTAAACTGTGATATAGTGACGTGGAAAAATGTGATATATAGCTAAACTCTGCTGGTTTTCTACGCGAAGTATTTGTAAACAACACGGTGATTCCCTGGGGGCACCGCCGGAAGTGAAGGGCATGAGCAATCGCCGAGGCTCCTGCACTTCCATTAGTTGAAAAACTCCGGGCTGTGCCTCCAGAGGTAAAGGAAGAAAAAAAAAAAAAAAGTTTTGTTTTGTTTTTTTAACCGATGGATTTCCAGATTGGTTTCCAGTTAATGGGAGTCGGGCTATCGACAGTAAAAATTAACCTAAACTGACATCCCTAGACATGTCATCCAGTTAGGACTTATTATTCTGGATGAATACTCTGCCTAAGTGCTCAGTATGAGACTTTCCCAAAAAGGCCATCCCTACTTAATTCTAGGTGTGGTTGGAGAGGGTAGATACAAGAATGATTAAGAAGAAAGAAAATCTGCCAAGAACTCTGAATGCATTGACCCCAGTGGGTAATGCTTTACTAAGTTAACAGCTCCAATGTGTATACAGAATAAAACTATGCACTGAGGATCAGGATGCTGATTTTTTTCAAAACAAAAAAAAAGGTTGTTTGTGCTGCACCTTGCATTGTTTGGATTATTACTACCGACAGAAAAGGATTAGTTCATCCAACCAATGATACACAGAGTGGAACGGAATAAATCTTTTAGAACTGTGTTAGCTTTAAATGCAGTGGATTTTGTTTTGTGTAACACCAGTGTTTTTATATTTTACTATTTCAGAACTTGGTGCCAAGAATAAATATGATAAGTTTAGTTATGGCTCCTAACTCCAATAATGACAAGTGGAGCTCTCCATCAGAGGTCTACAGGCTTAGTAGTTCAACTCGGTGTGTCCACACAGTGAAGTTTGCATCCATTCATCCATTTGAGGATTAGTCCTTCTCTGTTTTCTCTTTTGAAGGGCAGCAGCAGCAGCACTGCTCCTCATGCTGAAACACCAGAATGATTCCTCAGGGAGCCCCACTTGTGATAAAAATGTAGAGTTACAGTATGTTCATATCAGTCTTTCCTGCATGGGCTTTTGCTTCTTAAAAAGGCAATGCCTCATCATTACAGACCAATTTGTACGTCAAAAGCCTGATGTTTAACAACATAGGCCACAACAGCTGAGCAAGAAATGACTGCTAAGCATAAGGTCACAGCACAATAATTGTACTAAAAACACGAGCCCCACTGAGCGACAAAACGTGCAGGTCTTTATAGTGCATCAATAATAAAAAAGGCTTGTTCAAAGTCCCTAAGACTGTCTGCACATAGTTGGAGATCTGTGCTGCACTCAGCTTAGATCAACGCTGATATGTCTATATAATTTATGATTTTTAAAAAATAACATATAAAGTCATGGTTATGCTGCCAACAATCAATACTAACTTGTTTAGATTGGATTTCGTCTTTGTTTAAAGCAGCTATAATCAATATCCATATTATAATAATGTATCAACTGACATTAAACGACAATAACTGTCAATTGCAGCTCCCCTCTGCTTTAACGACCTTTATATAAAGTTCTTTTCCTCACTGTTTAGTTGTGTAAACTGCAACTTAACTGCTCACGCTCAAGGCTATCATAGTGTAGTTTTCCACTGCAGCAGACAGCTGTTTTCTGTGAAAAAGATCTAAAGGCCCACTGTACACTACCTGCTCACCACCACACCGCAGAGCATTTAGGAGTTTAAGAGCCAGATATTTCCTGGAGGAGTTGGTCAAGGTAAAAAATACAAAATGGTGAATATTGGACCTGCATTTTCCACATGGACACAACGCCATATGAATGTTAATTTTGCTCTGCAACATACAAGTAAGCAACCATCTGCAAATAAGTTGGTGAAATCAACGTAAAGGTGTTGATATAACAACACATGATCAGATCACTGTTTAAGATTTTAAAGTCTAATAGCAAATGGATTGAAGTTCAATAAGGCTGAACTTTCAAATCAAATTAAAATAACTATTTATTCATCAGGAATTGTATTTGTGTTAAAACATCAGTGCGTACCAGGGTCTGAAATCAACACCCACCAAGCACCAAATGCATGTAAATCTCCGAAGGCTATCTGCCACACTGGCGGGTACATGTACCAAAATAGTGATGTAACTATAAACTATACTGACAGTCTCTACCACATTTTGGTATCATTCAGGGGTGCACTGCTCTGCTGCTTCAAACCTACTCCTGTGCTGTCTGTCACACACATGCACTCGTTTAAACTGTGCCATAAAGGTGACCATTTCAAGCCCTCCTTGTTTTGCAACTCTGTTTAAAGTACTTGATATCAGCTGTTCCGCAATGCTATCACTTGCTGCTGGTCTGCTGCTAGCTAGCATTGTGCCAATACTTATGAAGGTAACTAAATAATAACAAGTAGGGTCTGTAGTCTGAACCAAGATGGCTGACTCCTTATTGGCTCCCTAACTGTATGTTCAAACCAAAAGCAACCAGAGGGCGACCTAGTCGTCAGCCGCGCACCTGGAACAGGTCCGGAGGGGAGTTAAAACAAGTTTAACTTTACGGTAATGAGCTCTGACGCGGTTTGGCGACAACCAATCAGAATTCTGACGTGCTTCAATGAAGCGGGTCCCAGAGAACAAGCCATGTAACTTTGGTTCCTACAGCTCACTTGTTCCGACAATGGATAGAGAAGTTTATTACTTGCGTTTGTGCCCACTCAGTCCTTTATAATGTGTCGCTGTTCAGTTACAGAGACCAAAATAAAAAGAATGAGGCTTGGGACCGCGTCGCGGAGGTAGTTGGTTGGTCTGGTGAGTTTTAAGGTGTGTAATGTTAGTAATAGAGGAGAGAATTGCAGGCTAATGTTGCGACATAGCATGCAAGTCTTCCTTGCTTGTTTGAATGGGATGACATCCTGCAAAGCAAAGCACTTTATCAACATTATTTCTGTTGACCAACTATGAGCTTTTTGACTGGACAAGAGTAAGCAACAATGACGCTGCTTTCAAGGCAGTAGTCCGCTTTGCGGCTCCTTTAAACTGACAAGCACGATCAAATGTTCAATGATTCACGTGATGAGCGACTAGAGCAACCAAAGCTGCCACAAATATTTTTGACAGTCGGGCATCTTGGGTGTCCGTGAG